TGCAGCGAGTTAAAAGTAACTGATCTTTGTAGTCTGAAGTCTCAGGGCTCTGCTAATGATACTCTCTATCAGCTGTTCCATCTAACTGTATTCGAAAAGTCCTTTCTGAATGGAAACAGCACTTGAACTTGTGGCTATGCTGAATAGCTCGAAACCCCATAAAAAAAGGATATACTATAATGAAATGTTGCACCAATGGAAATTTGGGAGACAGAAAGGAAGTCGTTACAGAGAATTAGAGGGCAAATTGCAGCTTTGCTGGAAGTATTTATTAACATTCCGTGTAACAGGAGGCAGTGACTTCACTATCGTTCCCATGCTCGAGTCCTTCTGTTCCTTTTAACTCTTTAAAGACCACTAGAGTAACCATTGGCTCGATCCAGTTCGTATAGGAGCCCATGTCTACATGTACTTGTTTCTCTCTCTTTCTGACTATATATAAATTAAATCTAGCTGAGAATTAACAAGCATTAGGAAGACTCTGTTATAATAAACCATAGACTGTGACCCTATGGACGCTTCATGTTCCATTCCAGGTTATATATATATATATATACAGTATATATATAATGTTTATCTTTAAAAATGTAATGTTGGAAGAAACCCATGTCAGCCCATACAGGAAGTTTGACACACAGCTTAATGAGGGCCCCATGGCAGCTCTGCTATTGAATGTTTTTCATGATAAGAGTGATCATGGTTTTCATTCTTTTATTTTACCTTGTTATTTTACTGTATGATGAAGACTTTGCATTTGTTTTTTAAATGGGCACACCATTTATTTTTATGTAGGCCACACTATGTAAGTTTGGACTGTATATGTTGGCTATATATTTCTTATATTTATACTATATTTATCCTAAATGTATGTATGCAGCTTAAGTTAAATATAGTAAAAATTTAGGATATTTATATATATTTATCCTATATGTAGGATATTTTTTTATTTATTGATTGATTGATTGATTGATTTATTATTTTTCCATTAAGCACCCAATACCTGCAATTTGACTTTCAAATTTTGACTGTGGTGTTTCTGGGCCAAAGGAGAATTAGGACACAAAGTGAATCTTGAAGTCTGTCATTCACTATAGAGCTGTGTCAAAGTACAGGATATGTAGGACTGGTGGCCTTATCAGGGGTGTCCCTAGACTTATTGCCGCCTGAGGCCCAGGAGGGTGTCAGTTCTGTTGGTGCATGTTACAGCGTCGGGGTTGAGAGGGTAAAGTAGTGGGCGAAGGGGGGTTCTGGTGCTGGTGGTGCATGTTATCTTTTCCGGCGTCCCATGCAGCTCACTGACGTCACAGGTTGCCAGGAGCTGGGCGGGATGCCAGCCATAGCGTCATAGGTTGGCCCTGGCCAGAAAGTGGGCGGCAGGCATACTTGTTGCCCCCCTCCTGCGACCTAAAGGGACAGCCTTATAATTAAAGCATGTCTAAACCCCAAAACTTAAATTTGTAGATACAACTGTTTTTTCTCTCTTTTCAACTCACAGGAATTGACGAGGGCATCACATTTCTGGCTAGATCAACAGATATTTGCAATGTATAT